CTCTACCACTTGAGCCACAGCACCACTTCCAGCTTTTTTCTTTTTTGCTTATGTGGTGCTGAGGTATCGAACCCAGGGCCTCATGCATGCAAGGCAAGCACTCTACCACTAAGCCACCTTCCCAGCCCATAAAAGATCTTCAAATACAAACAATGTCTATAAATTTGTGCTCTGGAAAGCACCATCTTAGTGGAATGTTTGCTTGTCATAGAAATAGAAGAATGGGAAAAGCAATACTCAATAAACTTCAGGAAGAAAAATCCAATTGGGAAGTTAGTAGTAAACCACTGTAATCAAGTAACCCAATCCAAATTCCCCATTCAAGCATGATGATGAGAACTGTTCCAGGATGACTATGTTAATTATGAGAAAGCAATTTTACCAGACTAACTAAAATGCCCTCTTTTAGGTGTTGGGGTGAAGATTAGGCTAAGTGAAAACTTTGATGGCTCACACTTATTATTGTGAGTACTGGGACACCTAACATAGATGAATCACACACAGGCATGCATCTGGGCAGGAATTAAGGTCTTATCTAAAAAAATGAAGCAAAAATTAGGGCTGGGTGCTTGTCTCAGGAGTATGAATGCCTGCTGATCAAGCCTAAAGCCCTGAATTTAAGCCCCAATACTGCCAAAAGAGAGAAAAATGGTTGGAAATATATAATTATTATTGCTGCTATTATTATCATCAATTAATGCTATCTTAAAGTAGGAATACTTGATAATTGTCATAAACAGAAAGAAAAAATAGAACTCACAGGAACCAAAGGAGTGTCTTCAATAGGAAACCTGGAGTCAACTGAATCACCCAGAGGCTCACTTTTCTCACAACTTTCCTGGCTGATGAGCATGTCTGCATAGTTGGGCTGAGGGAAGATTAGGTGGCTCTTTCCAGAGTCAGCTGTGAGAGAAAACTCCTGGGAATATGTCTGCAGGAAAGCTTGCACCCCATCCACACCCACAAAGTGTGAGGCAGGCACACCAGTCAACCTGCCATTTGTAGTCTGCAGCATACTTGAGGCGTGCCAGCGACGTATCCTGAGCATCAGCAGCACAAGAACAAAGGCCAAGAAGACACAGGAGACCACAGCTACTGCCACTACCAGGTAGAGTGTAAGATCAGAGTCCTCCAGGTCATCAGGAGTCTTGATACTGCCCAAGTCTGCCAAGACATCAGGGATGCTGTCAGCCACTGCGATGGTGAGCGTGACAGTGGCTGAGAGAGGGGGCTGACCATGGTCCTGCACAGACACCACCAGGCTCTGCTTGAGCACATCTCTGTCCAGAAAGGCCCTTGCTGTGCGCACCTCACCTGTGTGTAGCCCCACCATGAAGAGTCCTGGCTCACTGGCCTTGAGCAGGCGGTAGGACAGCCAGGCATTCTGTCCTGAGTCCCTGTCTACTGCCACCACCTTGGTCACCAGATAACCAGGCTCTGCAGATCGGGGTGCTAGCTCCACTCCAGTAGAGCCATCTGTAGGGAGGGCCGGGTACAGGATCTTGGGAGTGTTGTCATTCTGATCCAGCAGGAAGAGATTCAGGGACACATTGCTGTTGAGTGGTGGGTTCCCATTATCATGTGCCTTCACCTGCATTTGCAGATGTTGAAACTGCTCATAGTCAAAAGACTGCAATGCATAGAGTGCACCAGTGTCAGAGTTGATGGAGATATATGAGGATAGTGGTGCCCCCTGGATGGTGTCCTCCACCAAGGAGTAAGTAATCTTAGCATTCTCATTGTCATCCAGGTCATGGGCAGTCACAGAGAAGATGGAGGTGCCTCTGGGGTTGTTTTCTGGGAGGTAGACTGAGTAGGAGGCTTGAGAGAAGGTAGGAGGATTATCGTTGATGTCAGTCACATACAGGGTAACATGAACTTCTGTGGATAGGGATGGGGTTCCTCTGTCTGTTGCAGTCACTGTAATGTTATATTCAGATGCCATTTCTCGATCAAGGTTTTGGGTTGTCAACAATCTATAATAATCGTCTCCTGAATTTTCTAATTTAAAAGATGGATTTTCCTGAATAGAACAGACAACTTGACCATTCTTCCCTGAGTCTTGGTCATGCGCATTGAAAAGAATGAGTACTGTTCCTGGAGGAGCATCTTCTCTTACTGGGCTAAATAGAGAGGTAATGGTCACTTCCGGTCTGTTGTCATTGACATCTTCCACCATAATTAGCACTTTGGTTCTCCCCTTCAATCCTCCACCATCTTCGGCCTGCATTTCCATTTCATATGAAGAACATTCTTCATAATCTAGAGGTTTTGCTACAAAGATTTCCCCAGTATCTTCATCAAGATGGAATAAGGGAGATTGTTTTTCATTAACTTTGCGGAATTTATACACCACTTTTCCATTGGCTCCCTCATCCGGGTCACTAGCTCTAACTGTAAGCAGCAGGGTGCCCGGGGGCACATTCTCAAGGACTTTGACTCGGTACATGGGCTGAGCAAAAACCGGGGCATTGTCGTTTGTATCCAACACTGTCACCTGGATGCGCACTGTGCTGGAGCGGCGAGGGTCGCCGCCATCGGAGGCGGTGAGGACCAGGTGGTGAATGGCCTCTTCCTCTCTGTCCAGGGCTCGCTCCAGCACCAGCTCTGGGTTTAAGGTTCCGTCGTCTCCGGTTTGCACATCCAGAGAGAAGTGGTGGTTGGGGCTGAGCTGGTAGCTCTGCAGGGAGTTCACGCCCACATCCGCGTCAGCAGCTTCTGGGAGTGGATAGCGCGCGCCAGGAGCGGCGATTTCACTAATTTTCACTTCCAGGTTTTCGGCCTCAAATTTTGGAGCATTGTCGTTGATATCAGTTACTTCTACCTCTATTCCGTAAAGTTTCACTCTGTCCTCAACCAGGACTTTAAAGGTTACGAGACACCGGGGGCTCTGGGCGCAGAGCTCCTCCCTGTCGATCCTGCCCGCGGTGACCAAGCTGCCGCTCCGCGGGTTGAGAGAGAAAAGCTGCGTCCTACCTCTGGAGACGATGCGGACTCCGCGCTGCGCCAGCTCCCGGGGCTCCAGTCCCAGGTCCTTGGAGATGTTCCCCACGATGTAGCCCTTTTCTCTCTCTTCCGGCACCGAGTAGCGGATTTGACTGGCCCTGGCCTCCCACAGCGTCCCCAGGAGCGCGCATAAGAGGGTCAGTCTTCTGCAATACTGACGTTCCGTTGGCGCAGCCATTGTTGCTTTGCTACGGAATTTTTTCAGAATGCTCTTTGTGCATTTGGTTCGTCAGGGTCTTCTTTTCCTCCTGTAAAGTCTGACGATCTTCTTTTTCCTAGATGAGAGCCAGAGTGTCCCCAAGTTAAGAGGTTTTGTTGCAGCCCAAGTGCCAGTTTGTCAGAAATGCGGGGCTTTGTGTAGTTGCAGAGCTGGAAATCCTGGTGTAGCTCTGCTTTTCTTAGAGTTGGTGAACAGCGGCACTCACAGTCCTAAATGGTTACTACACCAACTGAGAACCTTGACTGAAATTTCCCCCTTTGTTTTTTGAGATGGGGGTCTCACAGAGACGGATCGGTCAGGTTGGGCTGGGATGCTTGGGATCAAGCGATTCTCCTGCCTCAGTTTCTGAGTAGCTAGTTCTTAACCCCTGTAAGCCACAGCACCCCAGAAGATATGCAGTATTTGATTATCGATGATGAAAACATGCTTCTCTTCTCATCATGATTTTAGATTTTTCTATTTTTAAAATTGCATTTATTTTTTAAAAAGTAGAATGAAATTTCTTATCACTAGAAGTCCAATGCACTATCCATTGCACCACAGAGCCACCTTAAAATTTCTGTAAGTATTAAATCACTAGGTTTTATTTTTTTCTACTTCATATCAACTTTTTGGTAGAATTCTACATGCTCCAGATATGTAAATAGTTGTAATTTTATGGTGTGTCATTTACTTCAATGTCTTTTCAACTTTCAGAAGTAATTACTGTGTGTAATCCTCTTTGGAAACACATTTATATTTTAAATGTTTATACTTTTACTATGTACTATACATTATTGAAAACTATTGAATGAGCATATGGATAGATTATACACTTTGAAATTATTTTATAAGGTTATTTTGATGGTAAAATTCCCGGGGAAAGGTTTCTTTAAAAGTTTTGTGTAGTAAAAATATTTTTAAGCAGGCAATGGATTTTCTTACTATTGCTAAATTTTGCAGAATTATTTTTGTAATTAATCTTTTCTACTACTTCAAATGTTTAGTTTTACTTTAGTCTTCTGTGTAGCTAATTGATGCATGCACAAGAAAATGCAAATTAATATAAAGGGAAGAGCAGATATGATTTTCATTACCATTCTCCATCAAGAAGTAATACTTTTCTTTTGTCAGACTGAAGGTGGTACCTGAAACTTCAAGTATGCTAGGCAAGTGTATGTAATTGAGTTACATACCAGTAAGGGCTGGAGTGTAACTCAATGGGAAGAGCTTGCCTAGCATGTAGTCATGGGTTCAATTCTAAGCATTACAAAGAAGGAGAGGGAAGAAGAGGAAAAGAAGAGGAGGGACAGGAGAAGGAAAGGGGGAATGGGGAAGAGAAAAAGAGAGAAATAATGAAATTTAAGAGTGGTCTTAAACATCTGGGCACTGGTGGCTCATCCATGTAATTCTAGCTACTCAAGAGGCTGAGATGTGAGACTGCAGTTCCAAGCCAGCCCAGATAGGAAAGCCTGTGAAACTCATCTTCAATAAACTTCCAAAAAATCAAAGTGAAGCTGTGGTCAAGTGGAAGAATGTTAGTCTTGAGCAAAAGATTCAAGGCTAACACCCAGGCCTTGAGTTCAACTCCCAGGACTAGCACAAACACAAAACAGTGGTCTCAAACTTCTTATTTTAAAGGTTATTTAAAGCTACATGATAATCGAGAGCAAAGAACACAACATATAGAAACACACTATTAAAAAGTAAAGCTTGCAGTCCTGTCATCCTAGCTACTCAGGAGGCTGAGATCTGAGGATCATGGTTCAAAGCCAGCTTGTGCAGAAATGTTCCCATGAGACTCTTTTTTTTGGGGGGGGGGTCCGATCGTGGGGCCTGAACTCTGGGCCTGGGCGCTGTCCCTCAGCTCTTCAGCTCAAGGCTAGCGCTCTACCACTTGAGCCACAGCGCCACTTCCGGCTTTT